CCGGGACCGCCCCCTTTTGAGCCGAGGTTGGCAGGTAGTGAGATCTTGGCTGGGAAGAAAGGGGATAATCAAGAGTTGGGGGCGGGTGAGCTCTTGTCTTTATTGCGAGATCACTTTTTGGTGAATGTTGGAAGACGTTTTCTTTACCACTCACATTGCAGAGCCAGTTTTTAAAAATAAATATTTTTTATTGATTTCAGAGAGGATGGGAGAGGGAGAGACAGGTAGAAACATCAATGATGAGAGAGAATCATTGATCAGCTTCCTCCTGTACGCCCCCCACTGGAGATGGATCCCGCAACCCCAGGCATGTGCCCTGATCAGGAATCGAACCCTGACCTCCTGGTTCATGGGTTGATGCTCAACCATTGAGCCACACTGGCCAGGTGCAGAGCCAATTTTTTCACCTGAGGATATTTTCCCATTGACTTTTAGAGAGAGTGGAAGAGAGAGGGAAAGACAGAGAGAAATGTCAATGTGAGAGAAACACATCCATTGGTTGCCTCCTGCACGTGCCTGACCAGGGACTGGGCGGGGGAGGAGCCTGCAAGCGAGGTACATGCCCCTGACTGGAATCGGACCCAGGACCCTTCAGTTCGTAGGCCAATGCTCTATCCACTGAGCCAAACCAGCTAGGGCCAGAGCCAGTTTTTAACATTTCTTTTGGATCTCAGGCTCCTGGTGTGTGTGGTGTGTGTGGAGGGGCGAGGGTGGAGGAGGGAGTGGGGTTGTGGGGGGAGAGGTGGATGTTGCCAGGCTGTCCATCATGGTTTGGCTGTTGGCGGAGCAGAGGCTCCCTAGGCTCATTGAAATTCTTTTCCTTTCTTGCCTTGCCCTCCTGGCAGCTCTGGCTGGTTCTCAGTTGTTCTCAGCTCCTTCCCTCTAGGAGGGACAGCTTTCCTTTCTTTTCCAGCTCTCTCTCTTCTCACCACTGCTGCGGTCCCTCAGCGCTGGGTGATCATTGTAGAGAAGCAGTATTTTGGGCACCTCAAGTGGCCTCCTAGGGAGCTTTGCTAATTGTGGCTAAGTGCAGTAATGCGCAATGCCATCTCTGTCCTTCTGTGGTCAGGGAATGGGAACCCATTTCAGTCTTACCAGAAGAATAACTGCTGCTGTCACAGTAAAAGGTAAATGATATAATACCTCTCTGAACTAAGAAAAATGCTTCCGGGATAACTCCAACAAGAAAAATTATAAACATCATCAACATATTCTTGCTATTGCCACAGTCTCTCTTGGTGCACCGTGTGCTGACATGCTGGGTGACTTTGGGCAAATTGCTTCTCCACTCTGGATTTGTGTTCTTTTTCCTTTGTGAAATAAGGGCTAAACATTAGAACATGCTGGGTGACTTTGGGCAAATTGCTTCTCCACTCTGGGTTTGTGTTCTTTTTCCTTTGTGAAATAAGGGCTAAGCATTAGAATCACATGGGGAAGTTTAAAAAAATTCCCTGACCCTATACTAATTAACTAAATCTCAGAGGAGTGGAGCCCAGACATAAGTATTTTTTTAAAAAGTTGTTCAGGTGATTCTAAAATGCATCAAAGGATGAGAATCACTAGACTAAACCATATCTGAAGCTATTTTAAACTTTGGCATTTTCTCATTTTGTGATTCAGTTACATAGTTGAAAACTGACTTTATCACATCTACTTGCAGGGGGTGGAGAAATGGGTGTTGACTGAATTAGAATAAAACATCCTTTTTGAATTTTCTGAGGATGAGTTGAGGATTACTTTGATTCATTCAGCTATTTGTAGAGTAGCATCTTAATTTCTGGGAGATGTGTGAACATCAAAAGATTAGGGAGTGAATTGGTTAAGTGGTGGCATAAAGCAGAACATTAAGTGCCAAAATAAAAATTCTGAATAAAAATGCTGGATACTGTGTATGTGTCTATTCTTGTATGTGTACTACTAGAGGCCTGGTGCATGAAATTCATGCACAGGTAGGGTTCCTAGGCCTGGCCGGCCATCAGGGCTGATCTGTGGGGCGACCGGCGGGGCGACTGGGGGGAGCCCTCGCTGGCACCCGCCTTGGCCGGCCTGGTGCCGCCTGCTTGCTGGCCCGCCCCCTCCCCACTGCCACCACAGGTTGCCTCCCTCTGCAGGGCGACCATCGGGGCAATCGGGGGGCACCCACTGGCACCTGCCTTGGCTGGCCTGGGGCCTGCGAGCTGGGGGCAGCTCCTGCATTGAGCATCTGCCCCCTGATGGTCAGTGCACATCATAGCGACCAGTCGTTCCACCGATTGTTTTGCTGTTTGGTCGATTTGCATATTAGGCTTTTATTATATAGGATAATTTCTTTTTCCAACATTTCCTGAGTACTTACCATGGGTCAAGCACTTTACATGTATTCATTAATTTCATCCCCAGAACTATCCTGTAAAGTATTATAATTATCATCCCCAGTTTGCAGATGAAGAATCCCAGATACAGAGCAGTGAAATAGTAACAGAGCTCACAGGAAGTAGAGGTAGGCTACAAATCCAGGCTATTTGGTTCCAAAGCCTAAGGGGAACGACTGCTCTGTGCTGCAGAAACTATGGGAGAGACCCTGGGGCGGGAGGCCCTGTCTATTGCCACCAGGCCCTTCTAGCTCAGACCTCAGGTGAAGGGAATCCTGGCAGGGGAGGAGTGTTTGGGAAGAGGCTCCACTCCAGAGAACGGCTGATCAATAAAAGCGGGAAGAGTGAGAGCATCA